AACTTCCCAGGAACATCAAAGGCCTTAAGTTAGTCGAACTGTTGAAAGGTCTCAACTTTAACCCTTTATCTATAAAGTGGCAGACAAAGAGCCTGACAACCTGAATCCAATCCCTGGAACCCAAATGGTGGAGAATCAATTTCCACAATTTGTTTTCTGGCCTCCAAAGTTCACACACACACACACACACACACACACACACACACACACAAAGAGGCAGTTTTCACACACAAAATTCTATTTTGGAGTGTGCTAACATCCAGCTTAGGCTACCTGGAATGATGTAGACATGGCTTCCATATTCAACAATGAACTAAGAGGAACAAACAGTGAAATAATGGACAAATGTACTCTCAGTGGGACTTAAGAATGTGTATGCCGAAAAACCAAAACCAAAACCAAAACCAAACAAACAAACAAGCAAGCCGGTTGGGGGACTGGAGAGATGGCTCAGCGGGTAAGAGCACTGGCTGCTCTTCTTGAGGTTCTGAGTTCAATTCCCAGCAACCACATGGTGGCTCACAACTATCTGTAATGAGATCTGGTGCCCTCTTCTGGCCTGCAGACATACAGGCAGGCAGAACACTGTATACATAATAAATAAATCTAAAAAAACAAAACAAAACAAAACAAAAAGCCAGTTGGTGGTGGCGCACGCCTTTAATTCCAGCACTCGAGAGGCAGAGCCAGGTGGATCTCTGTGAGTTCAAGACTAGCCTGGTCTACAGAACAAGATCCAGGACAGACACCAAAACTACACAGAGAAACCCTGTCTCGAAAAAACAACAAAAAAAAGAGTGTGTATGCATGGTGTGCTCATGTGTGAATGCACATATATGCACATGTGGGTGGAGGCCTCTCATTCCTAAATTGCTCTACACCTTTTCAAGACACCTTTTACTTTAGTTTCTTAGCTGCTGTGGGTAGACTTGTGACAAACGAACAGGTTCAAACACCTAGGGTCTCCTCCTCTCTCCACACATTAAAGCTAAAGAAATAAGAGTAGTCACATAAAATGTTGCCATCATGAGATCCTGAAGTTCCTCTCATCTTGCCCCTCTGTGGGACTGTGACAATTCAGCAGCACCAGGATCCATTTCGAGTCCAGATGCAAGGAAGGAAGAATTCCTGCTGGGCCTCACAAAAACACCCCAAGGTGCACGCCTTTAATCCCAGCACTTGGGAGGCAGAGGCAGGCCAATCTCTAAGTTTGAGGCCAGCCTGGTCTACAGAGCGAGTTCCAGGACACAGAGAAACCCTGTCTCAGAAAAAAACAAAAAAGAAAACACTTTTCACCTTTATTTACAATTAGTTGACTTGGTGGTATGTTGTGGAATATTACTTTAATTATGTAAAAATGTGTTGCTGTCTCACCTTGCCTGCCTAAGGCACCTGATTGGTCTAATAAAAAGATGAATGGCCAATAGCTAGGCAGAAGAGGGGGCTGGGGGGCGGAGAGAATAAGGAGGAGGAGAAATCTATGCTCGAGAGAGAATGAGAAGAGGAGGGAGAGGGAGAAAGAGAGGGAGACTCCTGGGGCCAGCTAGCCAGAAACAGAAGAAGCAGGAAAAGTAGGATATACAGAATGAAAGGTAAAAAAGCCCTGAGGCAAAACGCAGATGAAGAGAAACGGGTTAAATTAAGTTATAAGAGCTAGCAGGTCAAGCATAAGATAAAGCCGAGTATTCATCACTAATAAGTCTCCATGTCACGATTTAGGAGCTGGTTGGTGGCCCAAAAGAAAGCCTGCTACAATGGTTGATAACTGTTTTATAATCAATGACATATTAAGTTCCACAAAAAAGGCAGTTAATCACAAACACCATGGTTTATATGATGTTGTTGCATTATAACAACATTATTTTACCTTTTTCTCTTTTCCTTTTTTTTTTTTTTTTTTGGTTTTTGAGACAGGGTTTCCCTGTGTAGCTTTGGAGTCTGTCCTGGAACTTGCTCTGTAGACTAGGCTGGCCTCGAACTCACAGAGATCCGCCTGCCTCTGCCTCCCAAGTGCTGGGATTTAAGGTGTACACCATCTTACCGGCTATTTTACCATTTTGTACATCCTCCCGCCCCCAAAACACAAAGAATCTTAACATATAGCCCTGGCTAGCCTATAACTGTGTAGACCAGGCTGCCTTTGATCCTACAACAGTCTGCTTGCCTCTGCCTCCCAAATGCTGGATTATAGTGAGCGCCACTGTGGTGGTATTGTATTCCCCAAAATATTGTGCACACTAATAAACTTATCTGGGGTCGGAGAACAGGACAGCCACAATATTAAACCTAGAGGACAGGCAGTGGTAGCACATGCCTTTAATCCTAGCATTCAGAGGCAGAAATCCCTCTGGATCTCTGTGAGTTCAAGGCCACATTGGAAACAGCCAGACATCGTGACACACACCTTTAATCCCAAGAAGTGAGCCTTTAATCCCAGGGAGTGATGGCAGATAGCAGAAAGGTATATAAGGCATGAAGACCAGAAACTAGAAGCATTTGGCTGGTTAAGCTTTCAGGCTTTTGAGCAGCAGTTCAGCTGAGATTCATTATTCTGCATGAGGACTCAGAGGCTTTCAGTCTGAGGAAACAGAACCAGCTGAGGAACTGGCAAGGTGAGGTAGCTGTGGCTTGTTCTGCTTCTCTGATATTCAGCATTCACCCCAATACCTGGCTCAGGTTTGATTTTATTAATAAGACTCTTTAAGATTCATGCTACACACCACCATGTCTGGCTTGTTTCTTTTCTTTTTTTTTTTTTGGGGGGGGGGGAGGGAGAGTTTGAGACAGGGTTTCTCTGTGTAGCCCTGGCTGTCCTGGAACTCACTATAGACCAAGCTGGCCTTGAAATCAGAGATCTGCCTCCTGAGTGCTGGGATAAAAGCCGTGGGATACCACTGCCCAGCTTTGTGTCTTGAGGCAGACTCTTATTATAAAACCCAGAATGATGAATTCTCATTCTTCCTGCCTCCATCTCCCAAGTTCGGGACTACAGATGTGTGCCACCACAGTCAGCCTTCTAGTTTCCCGATATATCTCACGATATTCATTTACTTCCTCTTCATGACAAACACCCTCGAAAGCTGTTTTGTTTCACTTTAAGGAGAGGATTTGCTTTAGACAGGGAAAACAGAAGTAAAATCTAGCCAGGCATGACGGTGCACACCTCCAATCACAGCACTTGGGTGGCAGAGGCAGGCAGATGGATCTCTGTGAGTTCAAGGCTGGCTGGTCTACACAGATGCTGTCTAAAGTCCAAACAAGGGACACTCCCTACAGATTTACACTGAGTAGGATCTCGTCCTTAAATGACGTATGGCCAAAGTCCCTATTTATATCAGGAAGAAGCACCAAATTCTTCCTAAATACAAGTAAAAGAAAATACTTTAAGCTCTGTTTGTGTTAGCAAAGGGCTTCCCCTCTCATTCTGCAATTCCTTAAGATCTGTATGAGCTGATGATACTTACCTCCAAATACTGCAATGATGTGGAAACTCGAAACGGAGGAGGCTAGCCTAGACTGCTATCTCAGGGATCTACCACGTTATGTCAAGCCTCTCAGCTTCCAAGGAACTACCCACACACTCGGTAACTACCGTATTCATGGTAGCTCCCCAAGTACCCTCTTGTACTCCTAACTTGGACAGTAAAAACCTCAGTATCCTGGTCTGTAGATCTCCTGATCTAATTCTCTCCTCATCTCAAATTATTCCGACTGGAAACGTACCCCACAGGCTTAGTATGAACATACGAAGCCCATGGTCGGAAGACTGAGGGCACTGACGTCCACCCTGAACAAAAGGATGGAATTAATCTGCAACTGATAAAGAAACCGGTTCACCTCTGGTATCAGCACAAGTACGCCTGCTCCTATCTGTGTGCCAACCCCCTTCAAAAACCTGTCCTTCGCTGGGGCCAGAATTCACAGTGTTCTCGAAAACCACGCACTCAGCAGCTCCCTAGGCTAGTCCCGACTGGCAATCGCGCGCTACTGCAGCTGCCCAGCGGTGCCAACTGCATCTAAACAGCTGTCCTCCTTGAGCTTAGTAATGGTCCTGGGAGGAAGGGTGAAGAAGCGTCTGACCAGCACGGTTAAGAGACGAGTTCCTCATTCGTCCTTCCGTCTATCCATTTTTAATTTCTACAGTAATCGGGGGGGGGGGGGACGCGACCAGGTCAATAACTGGAGGCATACAATCTCCTCGGAGCCATACTAATGACCATCGAGTGTAATTACTGAGGGACAGGAGGTGAAGAGGCGAACGAGGGCTTTGGAGACACACAGCGAGGACAGACAACAATGCACACAAGTTAACCAGAGCAGGCGGAGGTTGGGGCTATGTTAAGGAAGTCGTCATCGACGCCGCGACGCCTCCCCCACCCTGCAGCCGACCTCTGAGATTGCACCCCGGCCTCTACAATGAGGACGACCTTCCTCGAGGCTGCAGAACTAGGCCATGCCGCGGCTCCCCCCCGCCGAGGCGGAGGCAGAAGGGGGAAACGGACCCCCAAGAACGCCCCTCCAGAGGGTCCCTGCCGACTCCAGCTCAGACTGGGGGCGGGGAGGGGGAGGGCTGTCTGCAAAGTCTCTACATTTGAGGGGCCGCCTCGCTGCCGAGTCGGCCTGCCCCGAGCCACGAACTCCAAGCCGGCCTCCTCCATGATCCTACCCCCCGGTTACCTCTTTGCGTCTTCGTCCTCCAGCAGTTCAGGCTCCGTCCCCGCCATTACCACATCGCACTCCGCGGTAGCCGCCATCTTACCGCCGGGACCAGAGAGCCGGGTGGGAGGCAGGCGGTGAAGAGCACTTCCGGTCGGAGCATCGAGCCGCGCCGCGGCGCCGCGCCCAGAGGGACTACCTCGAGCCCGTCTACCAACGAGAGGCTCCGCTTGGGGCCAGAGCGGCCTCCCATCCCGGGAGGTCCACGGTGGTCTCCGCCCGGGGGCGGGGGCCCAGGGACGGCTCCTGTGCGTAGGGGGCGCCACGTTACCCGCGGAGAGGAGGAGGAGGAGGGTACCGAAGGATGTTGTTGCCCCTCTAGGCCTCGGCTTGCCTCAGTAGCCCGACAGCCTGGTTGCCATAACAACTCGCAATCCTAGAGCGTCTCCGGCGCAGCTTGGGAGTCCCGGGTGGGTGGAGACAGGTCATCCAAGATGGGAGGAAAGATAGCCGTCCGCCACTACCTTTCCCGACCTCGGAGTGTGTGCACAGCTTCCTCCCCGCCAAGGCATGAAGAGCTACTTTGAGCCCAGGCCCCCAGCTTTCATCGGTGACGGGAAGCCCTGCCCAGCCAAGCGAGGGGAACGCAGGGCGTCTTCACCCTGCGCCTTTCATCCTCCACGGATCTCCAAGCACCAGCTGGTTCATCACCCCTCATGACGCGAACCCTTTTATGAGACCGCTTTCATGTCAGCCGCTTGGGAGTGCCATCTCAGCATTAAGTCTAGAGAGGAGGACATGGCGCCCCAGCCCCTGCCCCGGAGTTTATAAGGCAGCTCATGGGGTGAGGTCCCTTTTCCTTAGTGTCCCGTGTCCTCCTACCTCTCATAAACTCTACCCAGCACGCTTGTCTGCTGGCCAAACGCGGTCTGGATTTGGGAAGACGGCTTAATCATTTTGTAGTACCCACCACAACACCCGTCAGTATTTGTGGAGTTGAGTTCGGTTGGGGCCCTCTGAGGTTAAACGTGCGGAGGAGAGGACTTCGAGGTTGTAATTTAAAGCCAGAAGGAACGAAAATAAGAAGACAGTGGAATTTTGACAGTGTCTGTGCCCCTTCCCTTAAGGAAAACTGTGTGTGGAGGCCCCTAACGTACTTTGTAGGTCCTTATCTTTACTGAGGGAACTGGAACCACGGGGGCCACTAGATAGATAGAAAATGAGAGAGAGCTGTGGCTCAGTGGCCCGAGAGAGGCTATTCAGCCTCTACCCGCACTGTTGGTTGGGGGTGGGATGGCAAGAACCTCACCACCTGCCTGCCCTGCCTGCCCGTGGCTCCCCTCACAGTATACAGGCTAATTCGTGGACCAATCTGTTTTTTACTTTCTCCCAACTTCCTGTCGTCTTAGCTGAACCTAACTCATCTACTCTCAGCATTTTTGGGGGGAGGCGGGGGGAGGGGGTGTTGTTTGGAGACAGGGATTCTCCGTGTAGTTTTGGTGCCTGTCCTTGCTCTATAGACCAGGCTGGCCTCAAACTCACTGAGATCCACCTGCCTCTGCCTCACGAGTGCTGGGATTAAAGGCGTGCGCCACCACCGCCCGGCTCTCACAGCTTTCATTTCATCCTAACTATCGATTCTTCCCGTTGCCTAGACATTTAAAAAATTGTGTGTGTGTGTATGTGTCTTTGTGAGTGCATGCCACATGTCTGCAGATGCCTGCAGAGGCCAGAAGAGGGTTTCAGATCCCCTGGAGCTGGAGTTAACCGGTAGCTGTGAACAGTCCAACACGGGTGCTGGGAACAGTGTCCTCTAGAAGAGCAGCTAATGCTTTTCACCACCAAACCTTCTCTACAGCCGCCCCCCCCTCTTTTTCCGACTTCTACACTTCCATCACCAATTACCTATCATCTCTTAGGTGTTTCAAAAAGCCCCAAAGCTCAACCTATTTGTTAGTTTGTTTTGAGACAAAGTTTCATGTAACTCAGTCTTTGCTCAAACTTTCTATGTAACCTTGAACTTCTGATCCTCCTGCCTCCACACAAGTTGGCTGCCACAACAAAACGTGGGGCAAACCATGCAGTTCTCAGTGTTGTTCTTGACTTTCAATCTGTCGTCAACACTTCTGCATTCGCTGGCCACACATTCATAAGTCTCTTTTTCATCCCAGAATCTTGCCATTAAAAGCAAATAAATAGCTGGGTGGTGGTGGTGGTGGTGGTGGTGGTGGTGGTGGTGGTGGCGGCGGCGGCGGCGGCGGCGGGGGGGGGGGGGGGCGCATGCCTTTAATCCCAGCACTCGGGAGGCAGAGGCAGGTGGATCTCTGTGAGTTCGAGGCCAGCCTGGTCTACAGATCGAGATCCAAGACAGGCATCAAAACTACACAGAGGAACCCTGTCTCAAAACAACAACAAAAAAAGAAAAAAGAAAAAAAAGGCAAATAAACTCAGAGACTACACTAGTCTCTTAACTGTCCCTCGGTCTCATCTCAGTCAAGCCTTGGTTCTTCTAAAAGAATGACCTTTCTTGCAAAAGTGGATGGATCATGTCATTGCCCTGGTATAAATCTACCAGTGGCTTTCTATTACTGTGAGTTTGGTCTCCGACTTACCACATATCTCTGTTATTTGGCTACTCCCTGCAGTCAATATTGAACTCCCAGGGATTTGTGGCTCCAGAAATGTCATGGTTCTTGCGGTATTTCCTCTGCTTTAGACATTTTTGTCCTCCTCAGTCCTTCAAACCTGAACACAGGCATGTCCTTCTCCTCCCTCTGCTGTCAGCTGCCCCCAAGTTAAATGCCCCTCTGCTGCGCCCATATCACCCCACCTCAGTAACAGCCTTCATCATAGTGTGCGGTGATTTTTGGTTTAGATGTTTAACTCTTCTAGACAGTGAACTTACGGGCAGAAACTCTAACTTCCTTTGCATATATATGGCCCTACACAAGGCACATGTGATATTTTGTTTGTGCTCTAACAAGTAAAGCTTGCCCGGAGTGCAGAGCTAGCCACTAGTTCGCCATAGAGGCCAGGCAGTGGTGGTTGGTTCACATCTTTCATCCCAGCACTTGGGAGGAGTGAGCAGGAAGATCGGGAGTTCAAGGCTACCCTGGGCTACATGAGATTGATCCAGTCTAAAGGAGAAACAGAGCCAGGCAGTGGAGGCTCACACCTTTAATCCCAGCACTAGGGAGGATCATACCTTTGATCCCAGCACATGGGAAGCTCACACCTTTAATCCCAGCACATGGGAAGCTCACACCTTTAATCCCAGCACTGGGAAGGTGGAGACGGTAATATAAGGCGGGAGGAAACAGGATCTCAGCCCCCTTGGCCTGAGGATTCAGTAGAGGTAAGAAGTCTCGAGTGGCTGCTCCTCTACTTTTCTGATCTTTCAGCATTTACCCCGATATCTGACTCCAGGTTTTTATTATTAAGGCCAATTAGAATTAGAGCTACAGGCAGAGACAAGACAAAGTAGGGCTTTTGTTTTGTTTTTTGAAACAGGGTCTCTGTAGACTATGTTGTCTTTGAACTCAAAATCATCCCACTTCACCTCCAAGTGCTGGGATACAAATGTGAGACCTATTCCAGGGTCAAAAAATTCCAGGTTTAGGCAGGTGTGGTGGCACACACCCTTAGTCTCAGCAATTGAGAGGCAGAGGCAGAAAGGATCTCTGTGAGTTCAAGGCCAGCCTTGTCCATAGCCTGAGTTCTAGGACAGCCAGGGCTACATAGAGAAACCTTGTTTCAAAAAAATAAAAATAAATTCCAGGTTCAAAGACCACCTTCCTTATATATGAAAGAACCTGGGTTCCATTCATAGCACTGCCAAGAAAGAAAAAAACTTGTCTAATAGATGATAGGATTAACGAAGAATTATTGTTCGTTAGAGAGAGAACATTTCGGTATCAGAGCCCGGAAGCATCAGCTTGGTATCCATACACAACCACAAGTTCTAGCCGGCATTCCCCCGCCGACCTCTGGGGGCGCTGTGCAATCAGTGCTCGCTTTGCGCCGCCGGAAGTTGTCTTGAAGGCCGGACGTTGGGAGGGGGACGGGCCTCCAGGGCAAGTACTTCCACCCAGAGGAAGAGGGGCGTCCTTACAGTCGAACCGCTCCTCCCATGGTCCGGCCCACTCCGGGGGGCACCTCAGCGGGAGTGCTGCGGGGACCCCGGAGGTATGGAGCTGGGAGGCGGGGCTCAGATCGGCCTCTGACCCTGGTTCACTTCGCTTGTCCTGTCTCTGCCTCTGATAGTTTCTGAGGGGTGCCCTTCAGGGGAAGTCTGTGGCGGCGGCCTCTGGCAGCCTCTCGAGTCTGCCTTACTAAAACGCTCAGACCATGGGGTGGAGATCGGTTTCAGGAGACGCTCCTGGAGAGGTTTTTGCTCGGCACCCCTTTGGGGCTGGATCTCTGCTTTCTGCGGGGCAGGGAGGGGAGATCACCGGAGCTCCCCAGGAGCCTGTGTTTGGAAGTTTCCCTTTAGGAGACCACTCTCCGGAGTCTCTTCAGAGAGTGTATAAATCTGAGCTTTCTCTCTGTGCCTGTCAGTCCAAGGGCCGTAAAATCCCTTTCCAAAGCCCCTTTCCTATGATTCTGTCGATCACTTCTTATCTGATGTTCTTTTTTTTTTTTTTTTTTTTTTTACCCGTGGACCTGAATGGGAATGGTTAGAATTTATTCTCACCCAATTAGTCATTCAGGAGCAAGTTATTCTCTATATTTGCACACTCTCCCCGAGAAGATGACTTCAGTTATTCGGGAGCAAGCTATTCTCTGTATTTGAACCCTCTCCCCGAGAAGATGACTTCAGAAATCTTAATTTGTGCTTCTTTCTTCGTGGGGGTCCTAGTTAAAGAGAGAAAACAGCCTGGTGTGCACATGCCTGTACTTCCAGCACTTGAGAGGTAGAGGCAAGAGAATCAGCTCAAAGCCAGATTCAACTCTTTCATCCTCTGGAAACTGGCTTGAGCTTTATGAGGTCCTGTCTCAAAAAAAAAAAAACAACAGAACACAAACAGACAGAAAAAGAGCAAGAGTGCTTGTGGAACTTCCTTCAGTCATTGGTGTCCTGGACCTCCTGTGCACCAGGAAGAACCTGGCCAGCTGTTTTCTTAAACCACACTCTGGGCCTCTCCCTTTATGGTGGTGTGCCAAATCCTGGCCACTCCTGGGACAAGCAGGTTGATTACAGTACAGTTCACTGCTCAGTAGCGCATGTAAACATGCCAAGGTGCTGCTGAAACCCTGGAGCTTCCCCATTCCGTTGTCTCTCTGAATTTCATCTTCCCTTACCACACTACCTCTGTTCTTCAAGGTGGAAAGCTAACCATGGGGAAGAGCTGCAAGGTGGTCGTGTGCGGCCAGGCCTCGGTGGGCAAAACTTCCATTCTTGAGCAGCTCCTGTACGGGAACCATGTTGTGGGTGAGTGTTGCCGGGGCTGGCGGACTGGTGGACGATGTCGGATATGGCAATGGATTTGATCACCTTAGGAACACAAAGGGCCAAAAAGGGCACCAGCTCCTTTTACATCCTCAAAATTGGGGCTAAGGGCATGACTGACTCCTAGAGTCCTGGTCTAACATGGAGTAGGCCTTGGGTTTGAACCCCAGCAGTGGAGAAAAAAAAGCAAAACATTGTACTCCCCAGTTCTACAACATCAAACAAATCTAGAAGGAAGACACCCAAAGCCACGATAGGAAAAAACCCCACCTGGCGCTTCTGCGAATGTGCATTTCTGTGCATGCATGCCCATGTGTGTGCATATTGTGCAGAGGTCAGAGGTGGATGTGTGGTGTCTGCTTCTGCAACTCTCTACTTTGTTGTTATTATTATCATCTTTGAGATGGCCTCACCATATAGACCAGGCTAGCCTGGAACTCACAGAGATCAACCTGCCCCTGTCCTTGCCCCTCCAAGAGCTTTGATTCAAGGTGTGTGGCACCGTACCCAGTTTTGTGTTGCACTTTTGCTTAGTGTGATAATGACATGACCTTCATTCCCCAGGTCATTTCTGTCCAACTCTCTCAAGTCTGGCCTCTCCTGAGCCCTCTCATTCCTTATGCTCCATGGCTAGTCAGCTCATTAGGACGTCTACCTCCCTCACATTTCCCATCTCCCTTGACTCTTAGTCAAGTCTCATTTTAACCCAGGTTCTGAGATGATTGAGACCCAGGAAGACATCTACGTAGGCTCCATTGAGACAGACCGAGGGGTGCGGGAGCAAGTGCGTTTCTACGATACGCGGGGTCTCCGAGATGGGGCCGAGCTGCCCAGGCACTGCTTCTCCTGCACTGATGGCTACGTCCTGGTCTACAGCACAGACAGCCGAGAATCGTTTCAGCGCGTTGAGCTGCTCAAGAAGGAAATCGACAAGTCCAAGGACAAGAAGGAGGTGCGTGTCCCGGACTCCTGCTGGGAGCCCAGTGTTAGGAGAGCATGGGTCCTTGGCCGGCTTTGGGGTGCTGGCATGGTTCCCATTGTGCTCATTTGCCAAGGGGTAGTCTAGGAGCCAGAAGACTGTGAAGGTCACTGGAGAGGGTCTTCAGCCATCTCCACACAAGAGGTGGCCTTGTGATCGGACAGTTGAAAGAGACTTTTCTTTGGTTTAGTAGGGTCCCTTCGAATACCCAAAGCTCCCCATAATCTTTCTTCCCTGTGATCCCATGCTCTTGCCAGTCCTCCACAATTGTGTAAGCCGTTGACCTCTGGGAACTGCAGCTGCCAGCTCCTCCTGATCCTGAGCCACTGCACATATACAGCCTCTACTCTTTTTCTTTTTTTTCAAAACAGAGTCTCTCTGTAACAGCTCTGCCTGTCCTGGAACTCACACTCTGTAGACCAGCCTGGCCTTGAACTCGCAGAGACCCTCCTGCTTCTGCCTCCCGAGTGCTGAGATTAAAGACGTGTGCCACCACCACCCAGCCAGCCTCTACTCTTGTCTCTCTTCTCTAGGTCACCATCGTGGTCCTTGGCAACAAGTGTGACCTGCAGGAGCAGCGTCGTGTCGACCCGGATGTGGCACAGCATTGGGCCAAGTCAGAGAAGGTGAAACTGTGGGAGGTGTCAGTGGCCGACCGCCGTTCCCTCCTGGAGCCTTTCATCTACCTGGCCAGCAAGATGACCCAGCCCCAGAGCAAGTCCGCCTTCCCTCTCAGCCGCAAGAACAAGGGCAGTGGCTCCCTGGATGGCTGAAGGGCTGCCCTTCTGTCTTTACCGTTCCAACCCCATTCCAGGATGGGCTGAGGGCACAGGGGCGCAGAAGCAAGCTGTTCTTCCAATCAGTAAGGGAACGACCCTCCAGGCCAGGAAGCTGGGCCGGCCCAGGCCAGTGCTACTTTTGTCCCCTCTTAACTCCAAGAAGTGCAAGAGAACTTGATTGCTGGCCTTCCCCGTGACCCTTCCATGATAGCCCACCCTGCCCCCAGCTCACATCACATTTTCTCCACAGTCACCTGGACACTTAGGGTACATAGTGTCTCTTCCATCTGCCTGGGCAGGAAGCAGGGCTGTCATGCCAAAGTGCCCAGTCCAGGGTCTAGCTCCTATCAGGGATTCCAGCTCTCTAAATTTCCTGCCAGTAACCCAGCACCAACCTGGGCCTGAGAAAGGGACCAGGTATTGTGAGCGCACGGTTATACTTGCTGATCTTAGGTTTGGCTCCTCGTCCCTCACCCTGACCTTTCCCCTGGCCTGTCCAAGGCTGGGAAAAGCCAGGCTTCTGGGAGTGGCGTTTTCTGTTTGACCTCCACCCATCTCCCAGCCGTTTCACTTCCTCTTCCTGCTCTGGGAGCAGAGGCCTCATTGGTTGCGGTGGAGTGGAATGATGACTGGCCTGTCCGTCACCCTGTGACCTCCCAAGGCCATTCTTCTCTGGGCGTCAGTTTTCTCATCTGTGATTTGACAGGAGCTTGGATACTCGGTAGTTTTCTACACTAGGTGGCTTGGGCCTCCTGTGTCTCTGCCCCTGCTTCACCCTCTTCAAGGTGCTATACCTACCAGCCCTGGCGGCTGGACCAGCCTCTGCTAACCACCAGGGGGCAGGAGCGCACTCTGTGCGCCGAGGAGCACCGTCTGGACCCACCCGTAGGGCTGGTGTCCATCCCTCGGGGTTGTTTTCGGCTAGTGGCTGGATTTATATTTATATTCTCTGTATGTGTCTGCCTGCTACCCTGGTGAAGGTGGGATAAGCCCCTCCTCCAGCCCTTCCTTCTTACCTCAGATGCCTGAACAGAACCAGGCAAACCAGTAGCAGCTTCCTGGGAGCTGCCAGGCCTTGCATCCGGGGTTGTGCTCTCAAGGGAGCCCGTAACCCACAACTTCTGGTGCCCACCTTGAGCCTCTGATGCGCGCACCTCACGTGAGTTAGACACTACAGCCAGGCCACCTCCTGTACCACCCTCCTCTTCAGAGCACGCGAGAAGGGGCTGGTGCCCAGGGAGAGTCAGGGCATCTACAGGCTCAGGCTTGAAGTTCATTTATTAATGTGTTGGACACAATAAAACCACAACTGCTGTTATCAAAAAGTTTCCCTCCCCTGAACCCTTTTCTTCTTGCCCCATTGGAAATAGCTTTCGGGGAGAGGGGGGATACAAGTAGAGATACTGGCGGAGTCCCATATTGAGTGGGGGTGGTACTGGCTTTGGCAAAGTGGAAGTGGATCTTAAGGGCATGTAGGACTGTACCAGCCCTGAGCTCCACAGTTGGAGAGACTGGACCCCAGTCTGGAGTGGAGAGCCCCCCCTTAGAGGTGGGGTTCAAGGGAAACCACTGAAAAGTTAAGAAGGACAGCTGTGGTAAGACAGGTCACTTCTGTTAAAGCCAGGGCCAGGCAGGGTGGTGCACACCTTTAATCCCGTCACTCAAGAGGCAGAGGCAAGTGGATCTCTTGCGTTTGCCAGCCTGGTCTACAGAGTTCCAGACCAGCCAGGGCTACAGTCAGGTCCAGCCTGATCACCACTCTCACCTAGCCTCACCCCTACAGAGAAGATGGAGCTTCCCCTCAGCTCTGCCTCACTTTTACAGTACTTTGAAGGACTTTGGGGGGCCTCTTACCTCCATGGTCCTGTGCCATACTCCATGGTCAACTTTTGTGTTTGTTTTGAAACAATATCTAGCTATATGGCCCAAACTGACTGAACTCATGGTCCAGATACCAGGATTGTAGGCATGTACCACCACACCTGGCTACCACATGGTAAACACGGCTAATAGGTTCCAACCCAGTCAGTGTGAGCTCCCTTTTTCCAGTGGTTGTTCAGAGGACCCTAGAACATGGCAAGAGAGAGGCTGGCTTGTGGGAGCTAAGATGTGGAGTCTGCACTGTGAGTCTGGATGGGGTGGGGGTGTGAGAGCACCATGTGGCTGGGACTGTGACTTTGCATAGATCTTTGGGATTCATGGAGCCATAGATGCAGGGCAGCCCAGGACTGGCCCAGGAGAGGAGAGTAATGACAGTCCTCAGACCCAGGGGACTGGAAAGATCCCAGTCCGAGGGAAGAGCAGTTGCCCCCAGGTTGGGTGGGAACCCACAAATGGCCAAAGGCAGTCCCTGGGATGTGGAGACAAGTGCTTGCCAGGAAGAGAGAGGATGTGGCCATCCTGGGACCCCTAATAGGGGGCAAAGAGGATGGGTCCTGCAGCCGGGCGGACGGCCCCTGCTGGAGCACGGAACAGAGCCGGACCCAGGACAGGAGCTGGGAAGAGGGTGGCAGCTGCTGCTGCGGCAGGCCGGAGGGCCAGGGGCCCGGGCAGGGCACAGATGGCAGCAGCTGTGGTGGGCAGCGGACTGGGCAGGAAGCGGGCTGCCAGTGTCTTGGTGAGTTGCTTCTGCAAGGCCAATTTAGACTACAAAAAAACAAAGAGAGAAATAGGGTCTCCGATACCAGAGAAGCCCACCCCCTCCCGGGGACACATCCAGAAGCTTTTTTGCCTCAGGGACGTGACTTTTAGAGTCTAACCGCCTCCTTCCCACCCCCGAACAGCCATTCCAGAGGGCTTGCTGGGCCACCTGTCTTCCTGCCCAGCAGATGCACAACCTCAGGACAGGCAGAGCCAGGACACTGGGAGGAGGAGGAGGAGGAAGAGACGGTCCCTAGAATAAGCACACCCACCCCTGGCTTTTGCCCCCATATTATGACCTTAGCCCACCCCACCCACCGGAAATTCCTCTGGGCATAGCCCAACCCAGCCCTAACCCTGCCCCTGCCCAGGCAGCTGCAGGGCTGGCACCTTCCTGCCACGCCCTAAGCCTTTCAGCTGGCCCCTTCTCCTCCCTCCCTCGGAGACGGTTGCCTAGAGACAGGTACCTTGAGGACACTCACAGCCAGAGCTGCCTGTTTCTGCAGTTTGCTCTGCTGGCTGGAGGGCTTGGGGGGCTTCCCAGCCAGGCGATCTTTGTGCCTCCGGCTGCTCATGTGCTAACAGACAGACAGAATGGGGGTGAGATGAGGAAGACCACAGGACCCCAAGTTAGTCTGTTGCCCAGACAGATCTCACATTCAACCCACACACGAGGGGTTCTCACGATGGGGCAGCCCCAGGCAGCCTTCTTGCCCTGCCACATCCACCCACCAGTGGGCATCAACCCTTCCTCCCTTGCTCTGATGCCCACCCAGTCCCGGTCTTCCTTCTCCTACCTGCTTGAGTTGGGTCTCTGAATTGACCTGGAGCTGACAAAGGGCACAGTGGAAGGGAGGGCTGGGTCCCTGCCGACCCCCACGGTTTCCTATCACTCTCTTTGTCTTGTGTCCAGCCCCTCCCCGGGACACAGGACGGCCCCGGCCCCTTCGGGGAGCCCCTTGATGCCCTTCCACCATCCATCGGTGCTTAGCTCCTGGAAGGAAAGCAGTCTGTCGGTACAGAAGGGAGGCCATGGCATCAAACTAAGTTAGCCGGCTGCCCCCTTGCAAACCTTTTACTCTGCACACACACAGCGCTCCAGCCATGTGGGCTTCCCTTCCCAGCATGCCTGGCTTGTCTGTGGCTTCCTGTGGACATCCCCCAAGGAAGGCCTTCTTACAGGCATCTGGACCAAAGCCCTTTTCTTTTGACCCAAGAATGGAAGAGGGTCCTCCTGTCCGTAGTAACCTTCAGTTGTGGTTGCTGCAGACTTCTCTTCCCAATGCCCCCTCCCTTGGGATCAAGAGGAGAACCCAGTAATGCCTGCTTAGTAACCGTGGGTAGGGTTCCTCTGTCACCTGGCCATAGATGCCCTGGATCCTGGGGAGCACTGACCTGTGTTGTGAGCCTGCAGCTGAGAGGCTGAGTTTGCTGTCACTTTACACGTAGGGCAGTAGAGGCACCCTTTTTCACGCCTGCCTTCCCCATTCACTCCACTTCCCGCAGCCACTTCTCCTGACTCGGACCCTGGTGCTTCTCTAGAGCCAGGATCCGGGGAGCAGGGTGGGCAGGAAGAGGAAGAAGAGGAAGAGGAAGCAGCGGCATCCGAGAGGTCTGAGTGGGCTGGTTCTCTGGCTGATGTGTCTGGGGTCGGTGATAGCTGAAGTGAAGGGCCGAGAGGAGGGGATGCAGGATCTGCAAGGAAATGGGACATAGGGGGAGAGTCCGGCCTCTGAGGCTCAGCACTGATGGTGGGAACAGTGTGGGTGGGTGGAAAGCTTCCCAGTGCAAGGAAAGCTAGGCTCACCTTGCCACCGACTCTCTAGGCAAACTCGGGCCTCAGTTTCCCTGTGTAAAAGTCATAAAACTAGAAGGAGCGGGGTGCCCTGACATTCTAGCGCCTCAGCATTAAGTAAGCAGAAGTCTTAACCAGAAAGATGTGCTAGAATGTCTATAAAATATTATTCATAATAGCATAAAACTGGAAATTGCAGAGTCCATCACACAGGAGAACGGTGGCATATCCACGCACTAGAGTAACACACAGCGGCAAAAACCAAAAACCGCTACATGTAAACTCAAACACATAACGAATGTTGGCAGGTGTGTGTTTGTTTTTGGTCAGGGTCTCGTGCATCTCATGCTGGTCATGAACTCACTATGTAGCTGAGGATGCCCTTGAACTTTTAATCCTCCTGCCCCCACCTCCCAAGTGTTGTGATCATGGGTTTGGGCCACTATGCCTGGGTCTGTGTTGGTGCTGGGATCCAACCCAGGATTTCCCATGTGGTATGTAAACACTCTACCCACTGGGCTACACACCCAGCCCCCTGTCTTTTGTTTTCTGTGACAGGGTCTTATGGAACCTAGGCTAGCCTTGGACTCAATGCATAGCCCAGGCAGACCCAGACCTCTCAGTTCTCCCTCCTTGGTCTGTAAGGGGTGTGGAGGACAGTGGTGCAGGGGCTTCTCTCCCTCTGGCCCTCAGGAAAATAAAAACAACCAAACATATCCACATTTGTTTGCAGACCGCTGACCTCTGGATGGTGGAGAACATATGTTTCTACTGTTTCGGCCACCCACTTGGTAGCCGTTTGTTCTGCCAGGGTTAGGGAACGAACACAGGTAGTAGTTAGGAAGGATCCTGGCTCAGGCTAGGCGTGCCCGGCAGCATGTTACCTGATCCAGATGAGCCCGAGCAAAGTCAGTAAACAGTCGGTGTCTGCCCCTGCCTGTGTATACAGAAGAATTTCCCAGCAAGAAAGGTGGTGGGGGGCGAGAGATGGCTCACCGGTTAAGAGGGTTAAGAGCATTCGCAGCTCTTGCAGCCATGACGACCCCCAGCACCCACGCTAGGCCCCTCCCAGCCGCTCGTACTCCAGCTCCAGGGATCGTATGCCCTCTTTTGGCCTTTCTGTTCCATGGTCATGCACGCACGCACACACTCACGCGCGCACGCACAAAACAACACAATAACAACAACAAAGACAACCCAAATTGGAAAAAAGAAAGCTAGTGAAGAGCCAGAGTCACTTAAGCCATTGTCAGAAGCCAGCCTCGATGGGGGACTCGAGTTCAGGACTGACCTCTGCTCTGTGGACTTCCGGGACCTCCACTGGCTGGAGGTGAGGCTGAAGATGCCACCGTCCCATTTGGGGTCAGGTTTCGAGGCCTCTGCTTGCTCTTGGCAGCCTCGACAGCCTTGAGTTTTCTGGCATGTCTGTGGCCCTTGTAATGAGCTTCTGCCTGGTTCTGGAAAAGGGAGGGGAGGTCATGCCTCATCCAGGACTGATGTTGAGCAGGGGGACCGGCCAGAGGGATCTGGGGTTCCAGGGGCACAAGGCTGGGGCACAAGAGCTGAAGTCAGTGTCCCCGTCATCCCCACATGCATCTGGTCCTGAGGTTTACAGAAAGCGTCCTCACAGGAACTCCAAAGCCTCTGCCTTCAGAACCCAGCTCAGCCATTTATAAGCTGTGCTTCTTTAGGTAAGTCACAGGACCTCACTGAATTTCCTCACCCATAAGTGTGTGTGTGTGTGTGTGTGTGTGTGTGTGTGTGTGTGTGTGTGTGTGTGTTGAACTGGGATTGAACATAGTCTCATGGGAGCTAGGCAAAAGCTCTCTCCCCTGGGGCTGCATCCTCCAGCCCTGTTTGCTTCTGCTGTGTGTTCCCAGATCCAGAAGGGCTGAGTCCAGGGACATTCACCAAGTGATTCCCTTAGTGTCTGCCTGTATATACAGAATATTCTGGAAGTGGACTACTTATTATGTGCTCCAGGTTGGCTTTAAACTTCTGATCCTCCTGCCTCAGCCTCCCAAGTGCTGGCATCGCAGGTGTACAGCACTGTGGCCAGCTTGAAGCTTTGTGACTGTCCAGGTAAAATGGGATAGGAATTGTAAGTCCAGTTTGTAAAGTAGAGCTCCTGAATGTTAAGGGGTACACATATGGAAAGCACAGAAGTACTCATATTTGGGGCTTATGTACTCCAAAAACATTCATCCCATTGTTCATTTTTTTAAATTGAGCATTTTGATTTGGCCCAGCCATTCTGCCAGGGCCTAGGTGTAGAGACATGTCCCTTCCAATTCTCTTTGCCTTTTTTTTTTTTTTTTTTGTGGAATGATGTGACCTAAGCAACTGGAAAGAACACAGCTGGGCTATCAGCATCCTCTCTACTTCACTAAGAGTCTCTACTGTGGCTTCTCAAGTCCTATTTCCCAAAGGTGGGAAAGACAAGCCTCCACAGCCCTTCCTTGAACTCTCCGGCTGCAGTCCACAGTGGTTTTGACATCTAACCCAAACCCTATGGTAAAGATCCTCCTCTCCCCCAGGATAGGCTGCGGTGGGTGTATGCAGACCTCAGGGTCAGCCAGGACTGGGTTCAAATCCTGGCAATGATGGTTCCCAGCAGTGTCCTCAGGCAAGCTGTTTACCACTCTGAGACTGTCCTCCTCAGAAAAGTGGAGATAGAAGGTAATTGTGCCTCTCTGCCTCTCACAGATGCATCATGGGAGTCCATTAAGATGATGAAGTATAGTAGTGCACACCTTTAATCCCAACACGAGGGAGGCAGAGGCAGGCAGATTTCTGTGAGTTCGAGGCCTGCCTGGTCTCTAGTTCCAGGACAGCTAGAGCTACATAGTGAAACTCTGTCTCAACAGCAACAACACAGTTCACTGAGCCTGGGCATGGTGGTGCACATATTTCATACCAGCACTAGGGAGGCAGTGACAGGTGACCTCTGTGAGTTTGAGACCAGCCTAGTTTCTATAACAAGTTCCAGCCCCTCCCCTCAAAGATACTGGGGTGAATACATGCTTTAAACATCTCGGGTCAAGACCAGGAGCTCATACTACGGCCTCTGGGACATCCAAAAGATGTGTGTGAAGCAGAGAGGAGAAAATGGAATCCCAGTAGGCTACATGTGGGCGGGAGGGGTTATGAGAGGGGGCAGGAGTCAGCAGAGGGCGGGGAGTTGGAGCACCGTTCCTTTACAACGGTCCAAAGGAGGCCCAGATCCCTCCCAGCCATTTCCACGACTCCCTCTCACCGCTGAGTTGAACCTCAGGTGACAGATGTTACAGGAGATGAACAGCTTCTTCTTCAGAGGGGAGGGGACCCCAAACGTGTGGCTGATGACAGCTTTCTGGACAGGGTCCATCTGTGAGGGTGAATGACAGAGCTCAGTTCTTCCTGCACGCTCCAGAGGTGCAGTTCCAAATCCGGTCAGCCTCCCAGACCTCTCCTGCCCTGCAGCTGTACCCCAGACGAGGGGACAGCCTAATCCAGGCAGCAGGCAGAGCCGATCTGTCAGGCGGCAAGGGGATGGCCAGAGTGACCTGAACACTTAGAGTCACGGCCTGACTCTCGCAGGATCACCTTGACATCTCTTGCTGCCCTTCTGATCTTAGTTTGGGGGTTCCGTTTTCTCTTTTCGAAGGGGTGCAGCACTGGGACAAAGAGTTGAGCACAGACCACAGCAGGGAGGGACAAAGACGCTGTGGAGGGTGGGGTTCCCTTTCTCCCAACCCAGCTTTTATGTCTGGCCCTGCGGGTGGGGGCGGGAAACCCTACCTGACTCGCCAGCTCTGCGGCTGTCCCAGAGTCTGATGCCTACTAAGGAGAGTGAAAGCCATGACCAGGGAGGCGAGTGGCCAAGCAGGACAGCACAGGGAGGCCTGAGGCCCCCCAAGTAGCAGGATTGTCCCTTTGGAACATGAGCTTGAGTGTTTTCTTTCTTTTCTCCATTTTAAGTTTTGTACATTCTTTCCATCTGTCTGTCTATCTATCTATCTATCTATCTATCTATCTATCTATCTATCTATCTATCTATCATCTATCTATCTATGGCAAGGTCTAATCTAGCACAGGCTGGCCTTGGATGTCCGGTCTTCCTGCCTCTGCTTCCAAGTATTGGGACGATAGAAATGCAACATCATGCAATTTTCTTTTCTTTTTTTTTTCTTTGTAGAGTCTCGAGCAGTCTAGGCTGGTCTCTAACTCACTTTGTACTTTGTAGTTGAGGGTGACCTTAAATTGTCCCTCCTGCCTCTACCGCCCAAGTGTTGGGATTAAAGGCCTGTGTCACCACGTCTGATTTATGCAGGGCTGAGAATCAAACCCTAGCTTTGCGCATGCTGGGCGAGCACTCTGCCAATTGACCTATACTCTAAGCCACTTCAACGTTATTTTTCCTGTTGTCTTTTCTCAGGGGCCTAAGTTTTGGGGTTTTGTTCTGTTTTGACACAGAGTCTCACCACGTAGCTCAGACCGGCCTTTGACTGACTGTATAGCCCAGGTTGTCATTACACACATTCCTTCTGCCTGACTCTCCAGAGTGCTAGCATTAAAGGTAGGGCCACCTTGCCGTCCTTTAGGGGCCTAGGTTGTTGGATTCAAACCAGAAGTTGTCTGGGTTAGTCACAAGGAACTTCCCAAACCTTCCTTCCCACGGGAGGGAACCAGAGGCAGGGAGGAGAATATGCTGGAGAGACTGCCCTGAGAACAGGTTCCAACCTGGACAGTGCCAAGGTAGAGCAGAACCAGCGTCAGGACCTTAACCGGAGGTGTTGGCACTGGGCCAACAGTGGTGTCACCTGCCTTTGAGAGACAGTGCCTTTGAGCATCTGTAAATGACAGTGGGGGTTGAAGCCCATAGACCCATGCCCAAATGTCTCATACTCCTCAGGACTTCCATTCAACCCTGGAGGGGACAAAAGGTTACTGGGAGGACATGTGACATAGTCTTCTGAGGAAGGAGTGGAGTTCATCCACGATTTCATCCGATTTTCAGAATGAAAAGGGGTGCTGTTCCTCACACCTCATGGGGTACTCCTAACATTTGTCCTACACCCCCACACACATAAATGAGTGCACACACACACACACACACACACACACACACACACACACACTACCACCACCACCACACCACACCACATGCATGCACATGAGAGAGAAATATACAGACACCAGGCACATGAGCTTAGAAGCAGTCACAGACTCACGAGCAGAAAGCCGCTCTAGATATTATCCAACCACAGATGGTCTCTCAGTCACCTAAAACACATACATACCAGCACATAAGAGAAGGAACAGACATCCAAAGCCCTCAGATTCACATGCACACATAGAACATACAACTCCTTAGGCACACACACAAAAGTCCTCACAAACAATACACAAATCCACACCCACCCTTAACACACAGACCTCCAGAGACACAAGCTCCAACACAAAGACATAACTCAAGATGTAGCGCGATGGCTCAGCAGTGAAAAGCACTTGCTGTGCTACCATGAGGACGGGAGTTCGGATCCCAGCACCCACACAACCAACCAGGTGCCCTGGCAAATCTGTAATCGCAGCTCCAATGGGGACAGAGGCAGGAGGATTGCTGGGTCTTGCTGGTCCCTAGTCTCACTGAGAAAACAGGAGCTCCAGGACATCCAGTGACCTCCTTCTGACTGCTGCACACGCACAGGCATTTGTACACACACATGGGAACATACAATGACTCAAACACATGATTAAATAGAGAAATAATAAAATAATCTTTAACCCAAAAATCAAAGACACAATCCAAGTGCACACAGACACATCTGGATCAGCCACAGAAAAAAATCATCTCTGGGCAGTTGTGATATGGGGTGGGAATGATATCATCTCTAGCTAGGAGACAGCTGGGTTCTGGGTCCCTATTTGGTAGCACCTAGGGTCCGCTGAGTCACCTTCCTTGCCCACCCCCACATTTGCATACGTTCCCACCCTCCTGCCCAGCCCATACCGTGCTGAAGTTGGGGAAGAGACTGAGCGGGGCGGTGCCATTGAAGTGGAGGGCGAGCAAGTGCTTGAAGTCCAGCGGGGTTTGCAGAGGCCGGGTGGGCAGGGTCAGGGAGGCCAGCAGGGGGCTGGGGGCGCTGGAGGCCGGGCCTGCTGCAGGAGGAAGAAGGGCAGGGTCTGAAGTGAGGAGCCAGAGGGCTCTCTCCCACCTCTGCTGCCGCAAAGAAAGGCTGTTTTACAGCCAGGACAGGAACTCCTGGCTCCCTCTTTATAACTGCACCAGCCGAACCCAGTCGGGGAAGCAGAGTCAGGGAGTCTACAGCTCAAGCCTCCTAGGCAGAAGAGTAACCCTCTCTCACAGACAGGGTCAGCACAGTGACCCAAATAGACACCCAAAAGGGAGCCCAGCCAAGAGAGGGGTCGGAGGAGTCAGGGTCGACATACACACAACTATGTTGACAGCCTGGTGTTCTGTGTTCCCGCTTTATCCCAAAGCACCGAACTCAGGGAGTGTATGGAAAGGTCAGTTCCCTTTCCTCTCACTAACTGTCCCGTCTCTCCCTTTAGGCTCCACACCACTCACAGAAGGGATGAAAACAAACCCACAGCACGGGGCTGGAGAGATGGCACAGTGGTTAGAGCACTGGTCATTCTTCTACAGGACCTAGGTTTGATTCCCAGCTCACAACTGTAACTTCAGTTCCAGCAGACGCAACGCCTGCTTCTGACCTCTCCAGGCATCAGGCACACACAGAGTGCCCATACATATATGCAGCAGGCAAAAGCATTCATACATATAAAATAAATCTAAAAGGTCCCAAAAAATTAAATAAGAAAGAAACCCACAGAATTCTGAAGGTTTGGGTCTCTAGTTCTGGTGAGACCCCAAACCAGTCCTCAGGACCCCCAGGAACAACACTGTGGTTTTACAATCTTTAGTCTTAACAGTGTAAAGCGGAGCAGGAGAGAGCTGGGAACCGACAAACCAAGTTTTAAGGAAGGAGAGAGAGAGAGAGAGAGAGAGAGAGAGAGAGAGAGAGAGAGAGAGAGAGAGAGAGAAGCAGATATCAATCCAGGTTATTGGAGACTTTCTTGGGACCTGTAATTGCAAAACCAAAAGAAGTCCTTTTCAATTCTTGGGTGTTAACCCTCTGAAACATAAGATGGGTTTATTTAGCATCTGCAGATGTATGCCTATAAACACAGTCATTACAGAAAAGCCCTGGGGCAGCAGGGGGAGGGGGAGGAGGTGGGGAGGCAGAGCACCACTGCCTCCCTGGAATCATCGTGCACTTGGTCTATTAGTTTGTGCCCAGCTAGCACTGCGCTGTGGGAGAGAAACAAGCACTGCATTTGGATGGCAATCTCTTGGGGAAAGAGACACTGCAAAGCATGGGACGAGGAAATTCTCAGGGACCTGGTCTTCTTCACCTCTGTTCCCCCATTCCTCAAGCCCAACAGAGAGGAAAAGCAAACTCTGAAAGGCCAGAAGGCACTGGGACTGTCCAGACCCTCGCTAGCACCTCTACCACTTGCCCCGGCTCCTCTTTCCTCACAGGCCAGAGGTCTGAACTGCTGAAGAGCAGGGACAGCACAGTAGGTCAGCTTGAGGTTAGTACGGTTAAGGCTGTGTGTGCTCTCCCTTCAATTTCCACTGCCATGGGCTAAGGGGAGGGGAGGCCGCCACCCGAGTGAAGTGCCACCCCAGGAGTCCTTCTCCCATCTACTTTCTAAGAGCTCCACTCATGCAGTGGGGGGCGGCATGGATCGCGATCTTCACCATGTGGCCACCATGGCCCGCCCGGGCCGCTCTGTCTCCACCACGCAACTTGCGGCGCTGCCCACCTTGCCCAGCAGCCCCGCGTCCAAGGGCAGCACCAAGACTCGGGAGGAGAAGTTAGGGAAGAATTCGTCCAGCTCAGAATGTACGCACGCCAGCTTGGCTCACAGAGCCCGTGGGCAGAGGCGCCCGAGGCTGGCCACCATGCGTTTGAAGAACACGAAGTCGCCCAGCACGCTGGTGCACCAGTGCCCTGCAGCAGCACTCAAAGAGCCCCCTGGCCGTGCGCGCCCCAATCGAAGATCATCGCCACCGCATCCAAACAGAGTCTGGGGAAGGGCACACCCCACGCACGCGCACGCATGGAACCCTGGAAAGCTTCCTGGAGGTGCCCCAAGCCTAGCAGAGAAGCCCTGGAGTTGCCTAGCAGCCCCAGCAGCAGCCCCGCATTGGGGGCGGGCTCAGAAATCGCCAGTTACTGCAGGAAGCCCTGGAGCCGCGCTGAGCTTGCAGCGAAGCTGTGCCTGCCATCACCACCGGCTGCAGCAAGACCAGGTCCGGGTCTTTGTGCTGCAGGACCAGGGCAAGCTTCTGCACCAAAGGCAGAGCGTAGAGCAGCGTGGGGTTGAAGGCTACGGAAGTGAATTGGGAACTGGCACATGGCTGAGGCCAGTGCAGCAGCCGTCCACCCGGGGAGGCCAGGGCAAATGCGCACCAAGCAAGGCCAGGCCTCAGCCACTACTTCCACAATGGGCAACACAGAGGACCAGCATACTGGCCGAGGATCCGCCAAGTCAATAGCTACACGGTCCAAGGCTGCACGGAGCTCAGGGATCATGTAGGAACTGGGGTCACCATGCAGATAGAACAAGGCATATGCTCTCATATTCACCCAGATAGACAGGGGGCTTAGGGTATGTCGGGCCAGGGAGACAGTGAAGATCCATGAGCAATGGGCAAGTGGCCCTGAGCTGCAGGCCGACACTCCCCAGTATGTTACTGGGGAGGCTTGAATTGAGCCAGGCCAGTTTGGGTGCAGATATGCCAAAAACCTGTAGGATGTCTAGGCGTGGGCAAGCGATAGCCTCACCCTCCTGTAGCTCTACACTGCCCAAAAAAAGTGGTAGCGGGCTGGCCATCACATGGGGACACCAAAGTGGCCAACAGGGACAGAGTATGGGACTCTGCCCAGTCCCTGGTCTCTTCTAATACCAACCCCACATATGGACATGCTTTCAGGTGCTGATAGGCCTCTGCGTGCAAGACACCGGCAACAGCCACCTGCAACAGGCGCCAAGTTTGGGGCCAGGCAGACTCTTTGTCACTTATTGACTGTGCTATCCTGGGCAAGTCACTTTATCTGTCTGAGCTTCGGTTTTCTCAGCTCTAATGCCTGCCCGCCCTCGTCTCCCTAAAAAGGCTACCATGAGTTAGAAATGTAAACCTTTGTCATTGCATTTACGAATGTAAAGCGATTCACAAACCATAAAGAATGCTAAGAAGGGTGGAATGCTGTGCCTTTGCTTTTTTGTGTTTTTTGTTTGTTTGTTTTTGTTGTTTTGTTGTTTGGTGTTCTTTGTCTGGCCCCAATCTGCTTTATTCCTGCAGGGGCAGGGCTTACCCTTTATTTGATAGCTCAGGGACTCACTAATAGACATATTCACTAGCAATCCCCAGCCATCCAAGGGTCTCAGCTATGTGGGATTTGTCTCTGTAGAATGAATCCAACCCTCACCCCACCCCAACTCATGCAGCTGAACCCAGGCAGAGCTGCAGAGTTCACAGCTCTAGAAGCCACATGAGCGGTTTATAACTTGAAGTGGAATCAGGGATAAAAGTAGGAAATCCATGGAAAGTCCAGGCTCTGGACTATACAATACCCTACCCTGGAAGCGGGAAGACTTCCTTTTCCAGTGGATATCACAAAGCCAGTTCTTGACCGTCTCTTGGTTTTTTGGTGTTTGTTTTTTGTTTTTTTTTTTGGTTTTTTTGTTTTTTTGTTTTTTTTGTTTTTCGAGACAGGGTTTCTCTGTGTAGCTTTGCGCCTTTTCTGGTTGAACTCTCTCTGTAGCCCAGGCTGGCCTCAAACTCACAGAGATCCGCCTGGCTCTGCCTCCCGAGTGCTGGGATTAAAGGCATGCGCCACTACCACCCGGCCTTTTGTTTTTTTAATATATCCCAGGCTGGCCTCCAGTTCACCATGTAGCTAAAGATAACCTTGACTTCTGATCTTCCTGCCTTACTCTCCCAAGTGCTGGGATTACAGGCGTGTGCCACTACATCTATTTCTGAATGTTTTGTTTTGTATTGTTTTGGAACTCACTTTGTCCACCCGGCTGGCCTGGAACTCACAGAGATCCTTCCTGCCTCTGCCTCCCAAGCACTGGGATTAAAAGATGTGTGCCACCACACCCAGCTGAGTTTTTAAAATTGAAATTAAATTGAGTTTTTTAAAAAACTCATCAAACCCAATGATACATCGTCAATCAGGGCCCCAGATCACCAGTTTCCAACCTCTGGCCCAGGGAGTGGGAAGTGTGACTGTTCACCCAATGACGGGCCAGCTCTGGCTTCTTCACTGTTGTACTCAATGTGGCCGACCCGGTGCCAGGCCCGTAGGCAGCCCCTGGTGAAGGTCTGACATAGTGGAGGTATGAATGAAGTATGGTGGTTCCTACCCAGGGGCCTGGCAAACCCAGGTGGCTGAGAGCCTCCCTCCCGCTTAGTCCTCCCCTTAGCTCTGGCTGCCACCCACCTGCATATCCCTCACCCTCATGGGGCTGCAGTATTCGCCACGCTCTGTGCCAACAGTGCCTGGCACAGGTTGAACCTCTGCAGCTCAAGCAGGGCAGAACATTGGTTATCGGGCACATTTTTAGCCACGTAGTCCACAGTGGTCAGCACAGCCACCTCAGCTAGGTCTGCCTCCGCCTTGATGGCCCCAGAGGTGGGAGTGGTTGTCAGGCTGCCACAGGTCCCTTCACCCTCAAGCAGAGCCTTCCAGAGCGGGCTGACCCTGGTTGGCTGCCAGAGCCTGGCGGTGAGCGCCTGAGGTGACACCATGCAGCAGGGCATGGTGTTGGACGTGTTAGTGCCCACCGCGACGGCATTCCGGGCTTTGCCACGCTTGTTGCGCACCATGGCCTGGCGACATTCTAGACGGAGCATCAGCTTCACTTGTCATCAGAGTTCAGTCAGGGAAGCTCCTCCTTCCACTGCTCACTGAGTGGCTTGCACTTCTGGTTGGAGTGGGAGGCCTCTCCAGCGGGGGCTTCTTCCCAGGGGGCACCATGCCTGCTCTCAGGGCAGGGGACCCAGGATCCCCTCCTAATGCTCATGGCCTCACAGCAACTCCCTAGATAAGGAAGCTGGTGGAGAGGCGAGACAACCCACCAAGCCAAGGGGGACCAGCCATCCAACTTAGCTTGGAAAATTTATTCCAGCTGTGCCATAGGAGACCAGAGATGAAAGAGACAAGGGAGAGATATTTAGGGGGGAGTAGGGGACTAAGCTGTCCACGGGGATGCGTGCAGAGTCATGCATTGAGCCACGCTGGGGAAAGGGAAGGGACCCCCAGCTCCCTCTAAGGGCCTCCCTCTACCCAGGACAAGGAAGGTACTGACTGGCAATGGCTGCTGTAGCGTCTTAAAACATAGTCGAGATTGTTAAAAGTGAGTCCTGGAGACAGATGTGATTCTCAGGGCTCCTGAGTATTTTGTAGCTGAGCTAGGACTACAACACGGACCTCCTGATTCCTAACCCACAGGATGTCGTCCTCAAAGTCCATAGACACCTGTATTATCAGAAGGAAGTCAATACGCAGCTGGGCATCTCAAGGCCATCTGCTTTCCCCTAGTACATCTGTCTCTCCACACACAGGTGCTGGCTCATACTTAGGAACACTAGCGTGTGGTCCTGGGGAGGGTAGCTCAGAAATAGGCCACAGAGTGAGGACAGACTACGGGCTGGGCTGCAGACTGAGTATAACCAGCTGGGTAGCCTCTACCTGCCCACAGACATGAGGCCAGGATGAGTCTCTTCTGAGATCTGAAGTTCTTGTCCGGTTGGGTTGGACCTGCCAACTGTACCTCCCAGTGAAGTGATGTTTGTCTCCTCTTGTGCCAAATAGCAGCAGCAGCAGCAGCAGCAGCAGCAGCAGCAGCAGCAGCTACAGTTTATCCAGTCAGCGGAAACTGAGCCAGGCCCTAGGTTAAGACCCCACACAATTCCCCACGAAGACCAAGATTATTACTGTCTATGGGTGGGGAAACTGAGACAATGGACTAAGTCACTCCCCAAGGTTTCTCAAGCCTCAAGCAGCGGAGGTACAGTCAGAATGCTCAGCTTCCTGCTGCCATAGGCCACACTGCAAACCGCGGGCTACATGCCTCTCCTCTCCGCCTTCCTGCCCAGGCCCAGGTCAGGCTGTCACCCTCTTGCACTGGTCACTGGAGGAGTCTCTGATTCTGCACTGTTCCCTACAGCCAGAGAACAGTCAGCTCACGCTGATCCGGCTGATCCTTTGCTTTGCCTCTTCAATGAGACCTTACGACTTAAGTCAAGCACCATGCCAAGGGCCGAGACTTCCCCAACCTCTGAATATCTCTGGATTTTTAGCACTCCTGCCTGCCTAGCCACCTCCAAAAAAGGCTATTTCATAAAGCTGCTGAAGTTGTTACTGTGCTCCGTCTCTCTGTCTCTCTTTCCATCTCTGTCTCTTTCTGTCTGTCTCTCTCTCTCTCCATCTCTGTCTCTCTCTCCATCTCTGTCTCCCTGGAGATTGAACCCAGGTCCCCGAACACTCTAGGCACCCTCATTCCCTGAGCCTAGAATTCCCATTCTTCTCTCCTTGATCAGTACCCCCGCCTCCACTCCTTGAGATCATCTCAGACATCCCCTCTGCTACCCTGATCCTGACAGCTGCACTGGCATCTGGCCTCCTGTCTGAGGCAGTTCCCCATGTGCAGTGAGTTCTCTGTGTATCTGCAACCGAAAGCCGTTATCCAGGAAGTGCCGCCAGTTTTCGTCATTGCCCCTGCTGTCCCCTCCAGCCCACCCCTTACACATTTCTGGTTCTGTTGCCTCACGGCACTTCCCTCAAGTACATTCCCCAAGGACAGGAAAGACAACCAGCTTCTCTTTTTTCTCTCTTTGAGATAGGGTGTCACATGTAGACCAGGCTGGCTTCAAACATGCTATAAAAAGGACGGCCTTGGCCAAGTGGCGCTGGCGCATGCCTTTAATCCCAGAACTCGAGACGCAGAGCCAGGCAGATCTCTGTGAGTTTGAGGCCAGCCTGGTCTACTGAGCCTATCCGGAACAGGCACCAAAACTACACAGAGAAACCCTGTCTTGAAACGCCCCCCTCCACACCAAAAAAAAGATGACCTTGAACGTCTTATTCTCCTACCTCTAGCCCCTGATTATGGATGTGTCCATCACATCCAGCTCTATGCATGCTGGAGCTCAAAACCAGGGGTCTCTGAATATTAGGCAAGAACGCTACAAGCTGAGTCACATCCCCAGACCAGTAACTTCTTCATGTGTGAACTCCAGATAGGGCAATAATAGTACCTGACTTCTAAAACACGTATCACAAAATTTGTAGAAAGAATTTTAAAAAGCAAGCCGTGTGTGTGTGTGTGTGTGTGTGTGTGTGTGTGTGTGTGTGTGTGTGAAGGGGGGTGAGGGGGTTCAAGCATGCGCATGTGCAGCAGATCGACCTTGGGCACCTGCTAGTGGGTTAAAATACCTTCCTCCCTCACCTTTTCTTCCCAACAGCCTGTGATATCGACATTTTATCCTGCCTACCACCCAAAGGATGGAAGAATGGGAGACAAACACAACACCAAGATCAGGTGACAGATTCCTCCCGTATTCCTAGAACCCGAGTATCCCATCCATCCTGCAGCAGGGTGATGAGAACACTAAAATGGGAACATGTTTTCAATCAAAGATTGTATGTGGAACCTGGGAAGGTGAAGGCCAAATGACGCTGTTCCAGACAGTGGTCCTTAGACCCTGGGGATGCTTCATTAGAATTCAGGGGCAGGAGAGCGGGCATCTTAATGGAATAACATCACCCTGGCTGCCACCCAACAGACAGGGTCCAAGGAAACCACATTTTGTAGTTGTGCCATCATTGGAAAAGATTGATGCCCACCTCCGAGATCCAGAGGTAGCCACCCACACAGACAGTGCTAGACGTAGATGCCGGGCACGTGTGCACATACATCTCCCCATGGTGAGACCAAGTCTAATGTCTAGGACATGATGCTCATGCGGTGACACACATCCCCTCAGGCGCCCAGTGGGAGCCTGCATGTACACACAGATGGGCACGATCAACAACAGATCAGTGGACACAGACCCTTCCAGATGTCTTTAGATAACTAGAAACCCTAAGCATGGGCTGAGCGGCACGAGCTGAGCGGCACACTCCTTGGCAAAGAAAGATGCAAACACACTGAGATGGGGACCCAGGACACAAGTGTGTGCACACACTTCCCTACCAAACCAGATACATCTGACTCATAAGATCACCCGACCAAACATTCCCCTTTTCCTCCCACAGCACTCCAAGCCCAGGGCAGAGGTAGAGACCTCCCAGAGGCACACATGTGTGCACACACATGCACATAGAAAGGTAACAATACTGTTTCTATCATAGATAAAACAAAAGCTCAGAGGGAGAGGCCCATGAGGCCCTACATCTCCCTGGGAGGTCTACACGTAGTTAGTGCTTCCTAGTGGTGGGAGAGGCATTTTTCTTTAGTGGTGTAGCCATGGGTCAGGCATCCACAGTCCTGTAAATAACCTCTCCTACATGCATGCTCCAGCAAGCAACCTTAATGAAACTCATTGGCTCACCAAGAAAGAAAAGAACAGCAGCAAACTGTGGACGTAGAAGGGGGATTATTTGGGAAGAGGAAGGGAGTCAGCAGGAGCAGACAAGGGAGGATGATGGGGATAGAACCAACATACAGTAAATAGCGAGTATGAAAATGTCATGATTAGCCGGGCAGTGGTGGCGCATGCTTTTAATCCCAGCACTCGGGAGGCAGAGCCAAGTGGATCTCTGTGAGTTCGAGGCCAGCCTGGTCTACAAAGTGAGATCCAGGACAGGCACCAAACAACACAGAGAAACCCTGTCTCGAAAAAACAAAGAAAGAAAGAAAGAAAGGAAGAAAGAAAGAAGGAAAGAAGGAAGGAAGGAAGGAAGGAAGGAAGGAAGGAAGGAAGGAAGAAAGAAAGAAAAAATGTCATGATAAAACCCATCTGTATGCATAATTAATATATGCTAATGACTTTTTAATATGCAAAGAAAATGGAAATCCAGAGGGAGGGCCAAAGGTGAGGTGGAAAGTGGCAACACAGGGGTTGGGGATGGGGTGCAGATTGAACTGAGACCCAATATTTGCCCACTCCACTCCCGAGTAGGATTCTAAGTATGGCCGAGGGTCCCTCCTCACATTCACCAGAGCCTCTCTCTCACTTCTGGGATGTCTGGAGTGTGCTGATGCTTCGGACCCTGTTCAAGCGAGGAACTCCAAAGCCCAATAGCTAGAAAACTCCACTATGCCTCGTTTGACCCTCTGCCTCCAGACCCCTGTCCCTGAAAGAGCTTTCCAGAAACCTTTGAGAGCCGCCTTTCTCCAAAAGTTCCCCGAGAGACAGGTGTGGCAGTGCATGCACACAATCCCAGCACTGAGGCTGAGACGGGATGGTGAGTTTAAAGCCATCCTAGGCTACAGAGTAAGTTCAAAACCAGCCTGGGTTGCAGCAAGAGTTGATGGGAGCCAGGGTGGGCAGGGGTGGGGGTGGGGGAGAAATAAAAACAAAAGACCTGACAAGACCCTATGTGGGGAGGTAAGGAGAAGGTAGGGACACAGGTAAAGTGGGGTGTGAGGGCACTGATGTGACACCCCCGTGTCCAGGCTGTCTCTCAGCTAGGAGCTTTCTGCCCCATCTTGTCTTCTCTCTCTCTCTCTCCACAGAGGAGGCAACAGCTCTTCAGCCCCTTCCGATGCCTCCCCTCCCTCGGCCCTTCGAGGAGGGGAAGGTAAGATTTCCTAGAAGTCTTTAGCTCAGGGCCCCACCCAGATGTGCAGCCCCCTGGAGTCCTCAGGGCACATTCTCCAGCTGTTCCTCCTCTTCCTCATCCTTTGTTCTCAGCCACAGTCCAGGCTAGATAGGACTGGGGTCAGGGAGGGGAGTCTACTGACTTTGGGTCCCCAGCAGACAACCTCTGGGGGTCAACAGTAGCAGGGAAAGGATGGGGGGGTGGGGGAG